TTCTTGAGTGTTGTTTAAATGGATCAAGAAGAATAAATCGCAACTTACAGCTCCTGTTATATCTAATCAGTCTGTTACTATGCATATACAACCAAAGCAAATCAACAGTTTCTTTGGGACACAGAAGCAGAAAATTAATTTGAGGGCTTATCTTGCAAGTTTTGCTTTGCACACACTAGGACGCCCTTGTAGACAGAGGGTTAGTGAAAATGGCACTTCCATTTATACAGAAAGTAATTCAATAGGCCCCTGTAACCAGAGCTTGGGCTCTACAACTTACCCTTTAATAAAAGTAAGTAATGGTACCATTCTAACTATTAATCACGACTTTAACATAGGTTAAGGAAGAAGTATTTACTTTGTAACCCTTACTAAACTTTTATCATCCAACTTGCTAGTGTTAACCATAAGAACTACATATGCACCCAACAATCCTTTTAGAGGACCAGGACAGAGGTCCATTGCATTTTGAATGCTTTCTCAATCTCTCAACTACTAGTCATATTTTTTAATCACACAAGCTCTAACACTCCTATCATTCTTCAAGTGAGTTCTCTATCTTTAACCTATCAATTAATAACAGAAACAAACACATAGCCTAGTGCTTATTCTTGCCAAAAGAACAGTTAAAATGTCAGTCTTCTATTTTATTCTTTCTATACATTAAAAATTTTCCAGATTGCATCCTACATGTATATTTTGATCTCATTACCACAAAAAGAGAGCCGCAAATCGTTGTCCCATGCCACATCCTTGGCAAAGCCGAAAAATCAATTTTAGATAATTTCCTTCAACTATACTCCTCACCACCTTTTGGATTACTATATATTAAAGAATGCTTTTAAAATAAGGTTTAGAATGTTTTAGAGAAATCCACAATGTCAGTATCATCGGCCCCTGCGGATGTCCTCTTGGCACGGGCCAGATACTGAGAAGCGCTGGTACCAGAGACAACGGTGGCGGTTCTCTCGCCCTCGAGGAGTTAGAAAGGGGGCTTCCCTCTTTCTTTTAATCAATTTCCACTTATTCCTATGCCCTTTCATGGGCATATTAAGAATTCATGGAATTCATTACCTGATTTACATTTCTAAGTACAAGGTAGGTAGAGTATACAATCTAATACACACACCAAAAAAAAATGTATACCAGGAAAAATTCTCAGTAAATACTTAAAAAATATTGCACTTTAGATAGGATCTGAACAAAATGTTCCTTGATATATAATAAAATCTGGATTTAACTGAAAATATCACAAAATTCACTGGAATTTAATGTTCCCTCAAAGAAACCCTCAATTATTTACATTTCTAGGAAGAGTGCAAATGTATTATTATTATCTCAGAAATTATTAAAGTGATATAAACAGTAACTGCCATAACAAGGAAAACAAACAAAAAAAAAATTCAGCAAGTTTTTTTTTTCCCATACAAAATATCAAATGTCCTATCACTCCTGGAGGATTCAGCAGCCCCTACAGCCATCAGCCTCTTCAGCAAGTCCTCATCTTTTCTGGAGTTCAGAAGAGAGACGGAAAAGTTTTAGGAGTGGAAGGAGAGATGCCCTCAAGTGTATTAAGTCATTCATACCACACACAAATTTAAAAAAGAGAAAAGATGGTTGCAAAACACACTTCATATTTTGCTTTGAAATATCATTAAACAAGGCAACAAAATATTAACAGTGATTATATTATTAGTAGCTAACATTTACTTCTTACTGTACTTACTCCTTCTTTGCATGGGAGTGAGCAAAAGTAGGTTTACAGTTTTTCATATGGAAAACAATACAAGAATAAACTGTGTTTCATATACTCAGAAATGCAAACCTACTTCTGCCACCCTGTCTACTTCCCAAATATTCTACAGTGAATTTGTTTTAACATCTTTAAACTTCATTACAGATGGAAAGCAGGGTTCCTTGGAGAAATGTCTGATTCTGGGACCATAGCACCAAGATAACACAGTGCATCTTGGAGGGCCAAAAGCATAAAGGGCCAACGCTGTAACAACTGAAGCAACAAAATAACAGTGTACATAAGGCAAGCTATGAAATAAAGATCCATGAATCTATACTGATATAAATTAATGATTATATACATATGTAAATCAGAAGAGATAACTCTCACACTATACAGAAAGAGTTAACTATATATAGGTTAGCCTGACTGGTAACCTTTGAACGCCCTGCTTACAAGATTGGCCCTTGGCCAGTATCTAAGAACTTAGACTTCAAGGGCGAGGGCCCCACCATTCCCAGAACTGATGAGTGGCTCACACGATGCCTAAACTGTTGCTGCAAACAATATAGTTTATGCTGGACATCTGTTCTCCTCTAGGGAGTCTCAAATTTGGGTATGTGCCAGGCAGCAGGTACCCATGAGATCAGTCCCAATAAAACCCTGGGCACTGAGTCTCTAATGAGCTCCCCAGTTGGTAACACTTCACCCACAGCGTTACCGCTCACTGCTGGGCAATCACTGGCCTCCTCTAACATGCTGGTGGGAGACCCTGTGGAGGCGTGTGCCAGGAGTGTGCCCTGAATTTCACCCCCTCCTCCTTTCACTGTGGTTTTGCTTAGTGTCCTTTTGCTATAGTTAATCATAGGTGGGGGTACAACTATATGATCAGTCTTGTGAGTCCTTCTAGCAGACCATCAAATGTGAGGTTGGTCTTGCGGACCCCTGGCACACATTCAGAAGAATTTCAAACAATTTATGTAGATACTTCACCCTCAGAAAGGAGGAGCATTATGCCCCAATCCTTAAAAGTGTGAGCTACACTTGGTGACTTTCTTCCACAGGATACAGTACAGACAGCAGAAGGAAAGAGGAATTTTATTGTGGAGAAACCTGACAGACACTGCTTCAGCCAGGAGACCACCATTAAACTCATCAGTGATAAGTAAAGAGCACGCAATCTTCATACGATATGATGAAAACGGCATTTTCCCTCTGTGTTCTTCCTCCTAAAACCTAGAAACCCCGACTAACCATGAAAATAACATCAAAAAAACCCAAATTATCAGTCTAAAAAACACCCAATCAATACCCTTCACATTACCAAGGTTATCAAAAACAAGGAGAATCTGAGAAACATAACTGAATACCCACAGCATTCTGTACATACTCCAGAAGGGACATGCCTTACTAATGGTTACTTCAAACCCTTCTTAACATAGTTTCAAAAGACCCAAAGCAGCCTCAAAAGATTCAGCTATCAGCAAGTAGCTGCCTTCCATAACAAAGAACAACACTTTTTAAAAAGAACGTAACAAGATCCAGCATTTATCAATGTCTAGAATCTAATTAAAAATTATTAGATATGTGACCCATAAAATTAGCCAATTAAGTAGATATAAAAATGACAGAGATGATGGAATTAAATATATGGGCTCTTAAAGAGCTATTATATATAGGCTCAAGAACTTTAGTGAAAAAAATAAACACAACGAAGATAAACTCGAATATATAAAAATAGACTCAAATAGAACTTTGAGAGATAAAACACATAACATCTAAAACAATAAATTCACTGGGGTAGGACCAATTAAATTCCAAAGAAGAAAAGATTAGTAAACTTGGAGAACTGGAAATAGTAACGCTCCAAAGTCAAGCACAGATGACAAAACAATGAAAAAAATGCACAAAGCCTCACTGACATTTGGAACATCAAATGGTCTAACATATGTGTAATCGGAATCTCAGAGAAATGAAGAGAAAATACTATCTGAAGAAACAATGATCAATTTTTTTTAAATTGATGAAGACTATAAACCCACAAACCGAAAAATCTCATCAAACCTCACGCAAGAATACACATAACAAAAAACAAATGCCAAGACATGCCAACAACCCAACTGCTGAAAACCAATGAAAAAAATATTAAAGGCAGTCCAAAAAAATGACACATTTCATACAGAGGCACAAAGGTAAAAATGCACACAAATGTTTCATCTGAAACTATACAATGCAGAAATTGGAATGACATCACTGAAAAGCTTAAAGCAAAAAACTGGTGACCTACATTTCTACATCCAGTGAAAGCATCTTGTCAACATATAAGCAAAGAACTTTTCCAAGACATATAAAAGCTGGAAGAATTTAGTGCCAACAAATCTGCATACAAAAAAACATTAAACAAAGTTCTCCAGGCAGAAAGAATAGTGAAAACATGAATCCATACAAATAACAAAGACTGCCACAAAAGGCAGATTTACAGGTTTAAAAAAAAACTTTTATTTTTCATTATGAATTTTCTTTAAGTTAATTGACTGCTAAATGCAAAGTGGTTAACAATGTATTGTCAGGTTTATAACACATGTAGAAATAAAACATCTGACTGCAATAGCACAAAGGATGGAGGTGAGAAAGAAAAGTATAAGATTTCAGGTTCTTACATTATACATAAAATGGTATGCTATTATTAAACAATGAAATTTATTTTGTAAACTCTAAGAGCAACTAGTTTAACAAAGAGAACATAATAAGCCAATAGTAAAATAAATTAAAATGCTAAAAAATACAATTAACCCAAAAGAAGGCAAGAAAAGAAGGGAAAGAAGAAAATATCACAGATGGGACAACAGGAAACAAGAACAATATAGACTGAAACCCAATCATGTCACTGATTACATTAAATATAAATGGTCTAAACACTGTGCAGAGTACCATGACAGATGCTAAGGGATAATTTAATGACTTAAACAGATCTCCGTGCCCTTGGGAGGTTAGAGTACAATGGTGGAGATAAAAAGTATGGGAGTGGGTACATGTGTCTCCACATACATACATGCAAAAATAAAACTACAAATTGTGACTAAGTGTTATTAAGTCCATAAAGGGGGTATAACGACAGACAACACCTGACTAGGCCCCACGGAGATAAGGAGACCAGGGGATGGGCACTCTGAGGGAACAATATCAAATCTGAAATTTGTTCAGCAGTGAACCTTATTCTGAAGAATAAACCTGTTATGCTTAACCTAGGAAAGGAAAATAGATTGTACTCTGTTTGGTGGCATATAGACGAAAATTGGAACAATACTGAGATTAGCATGGCCCCTGAGCAAGAATGATAGGCAAATTTGTGAAGTATTTAAAAAAAAAAAAAAAACGGAAATTAATTAAAATCAAAGTAACTCTGGCTGACCAGGGTTAGAGCACCAGTCTTCTACCCACTTGGTTCTTCCACTTGCCTGAGGAGATTCGCAAAAAAGTCCTGAAATACCCATAGGGCTCCAAGAAATACTGCAGTTGATCCCTGGCTGGTGTGGCGCAGTTGGTGGGAGTGTCATCCTGTAAATCGAAAGGTCACAGGTTCGATTCCTAGTCAGGACACACACACAAGTAGCAGGTTTGGTCCCTGGTCAGTGAGGGTGCATACGAGAGGAAACAGATTTGAGGTTTCTCTCTCACATCAATGTTTCTCTCCCTCTCTCTCTCTCCCTCTCTTCTCCTCTCTCTAAAATCAATAAGCATGGCTCTGAGTAAAGTGGCTTGGTGGGCTGGGCATCATCCCACAAACCAAAAGGTTTCTGGCTCAATTCCCAATCAAGGCACATGCCTGGGTTGCAGGCCAAGTCCCTGGTCCTGGGCAACTAATAGAGGTTTCTCTCACACATACATGTTTCTCTCCCTCTCTTTCTCCCTCCCTTACTCTCTCTCTAAAAATAAATAAAATCTTAAAAAAAATAGTAATAAAATGAAATCAATAAGCATGTCCTCAGGTGAGGGAACAAAAGAATCGAAAAAAGAAATACTGAAGTTGATTGTCGAATGCTCTAGAAAAGTTTTGAACAGGAACAAGGCCAGGCTGACCATTTAATTAATTAGACAAAGAATGGACTTGGGGAGAACAAAGAAGTCAATGGGCTCTTTAAATTGCTAAGGTGAGAGAGAATGACTATAAAAAGGAATAGTATACTTGGAGTAATTTGGGAAAAGGCAGTAAGGATGAGAAGGAGGAGACAGATACGAATCTTTCTTAATACATACTTTTTGATGTATTTGGTGATTGACAGGAAAGGGGAAAAAAAAAATGAAGCTAAAATATTCAGAAGTGACCCTTAGGCTTAGGTGACTACACGGACGGTGGTGCTAAACATGGAAGAGGCAGATGTAGGTCACATCAGCAAGAATTCTGGCTATGTAGATCTGGCTACACAGTACGAAAAGGCTGGCAGGACTAGCGGTGAGAGGAGGCCGTAGGGCAGACAACCAACCCCGCAAGCCTTCCAGCTGTGTTCTCCACCGACGGGGGGACACTGAATTCCTTAATTCCAAGTACTTGCTAGCCAACAATAACCACAAATAATTGGCTTCGGCTGAACCGAAGAAAATAAAACAACAACAACAAAAAGAGACAATTCAAATACAGCACTATGAAAGAACAAATGAAATAAACAAATGAGTAATGAGGGAAATCTGCTCCTAAGACACTTGAACCAGAATTCCATCTGGATTTCTGGATAGGAAGGTTTCAGGTCATGTCCAAATTAACTGCTTATTTCAGAAGAATATATCAAGTTACTAAATTAATGATTATGACTATAACAGGATTTCTAATAAAAGTAAGTTTCATACAAATGTCACAGATTGGACCAATGCACCAATATATTCATAAATTAGCAACATAAAACAGTAAAGAAGCATTTTAACTAAGCTCGACATTTTAGGAGTGGTTACCTATGCAGCAATTCTGTCTCCTGTGTATGCCGTATGGTACAATTACTGTTACCTTCCTGGCACAGGGTGTTTATTAATAGCCCAATTGTTCCTAGTTTAAGTTCTTTTTATATATATCATACATAAAATTTAAAAAATTGCTTTCACTGCTCAAAATGAAGCAGTCCAGACCCTGTAGTCATACCTTCTTCTTTGCCCTCACAAACCACACTAACTTGGTATCATTTGCACCAGTGCTAAGACATTATTTCTTGAGTGAAAAAAAAAAACTAGTGTTTCTGAATATATTTAAAATTGATTCTTGGGATTCTAGAAGTTGTTTTTAATTGTGAAATAAGTTTTGAAGATACCACCAATAAGAGTCCAGATTTAACATTTTCTATTCAAAACACTTGTTGGATTTGTATTGTTACAACACACACAATGTACAGTCACTGCCCAAAAAGAAACTAGATTGTTAATACTAAGGTACTTTTGTCGTCAATATGTTATATAGATGCATTGGGAAGAAAGGAAATTTCCATCACTGGGAAGGAATAGGTAAAATTCTGTGAAACATGCTCAAAATAGGCACATTACCAACATGCCAGAGAAGAGATGTAAACTGCCCAGGGTCCAAGAGGATCTACGGTCGCCTTGTCTATGAAGTACCCACCGCAAAGTGAAGGCTCACTCTTTTCGCCCAATGCTTTCCTTTCTAATTTTTCCTACAATGTGTGTGTCTCTTTTCCCTCTTGCTCTCACTAAAATCAATAAACGTATTTTGTTAATTTTTCAAGAAAAAAATAATTTGGAAGAACCTACCTTCATAATCTTAATGTTCTTTAAAGCCCTACTCTAAATCTTAGTAAATCAGAACCCACTTATTTAAGTAAGATCCACAAGGTCATTCTTAAGCCCATTAAAGTTTAAGAGCTACTTTAAATTACATCATAAAAATATTATCTTGCTTGTCATTTTTAGCAGACATCTATACTTACTTAAAAAATACAGAGTAGGAAATAATAAAGAAAAATTTTGTATATTCCTTATAAAAACTTTTTTAGTTTTTTAAAGTTTCTCCATTTTGGAGACTAGAAATACACACCAGCTTCTATTTCTACGAACAGTCTAAGAGATCATCAGACAGCTTACCTAATCTTAAACAAATCACTCTTTAGAAACAGAAAAATCTATAAAAAGCTTAAGTGAAAGAAGAATTTAGAATTTAGGTAAGGTTATAAAAATTTATACCTGTACTATTTACAATTATTTTGGATTACTGTTTGTCTTGATTAATAAAGCAATGATGGAATGTTTGCTTTCCTGTCACAGACTTTAGAAAAATATAATTAATTCTAAGAGACAAACAGAGTGATCTTCACCTTGACTGTCATCTTCCTACAAAGAATCACCTGAGATTGTCTAAGTTATCTTTATAGCTAATTTATTCTTCTAGAGAAAAAAATGGCTTAATAAATTGGCAGGACGAGGCAACAGAGACTGGTGGAAGGTACAGGTATAGGCTAGTGGACCATGAATTTCATTGTGGACAGGTCTGCAAACAATTCATAAAAGCAACTGTTTCAGAATTCCACCGCAGGGTAATTAAGAGCACAGAGAAAATGAGATAAGCCAACAATTCTCTTTAAAGAATAAACCATTTGGCCTTCCACAGTCTCAGAATCACCAATTTTTTAAACTGGAGAGACAGTAAAGATCACATAACATAATCTCTTAAATTTTAGATGAGATAGCTCAGGCCCAGGGAGGAAAAGTGACATAGTTGGATCCCAGATGAAATTAATAAATACTTCCTGAACACCTACTACAGATACAACACTATTCTAAGGGTTACAGAAAACATAAGTAAGGATAATGTTGGACCCCTTCTTCAGAGCTCCCATGCCTTATTTCCCAGGTAAGTTACCTGCACATAGCTCTCTGATGTTAGCAATCTTCTTTTTCACATTCTAGCTTAGGAGTTGGAACACTTTGGCCCCGGAGCCAAATCTGGTTCACTGACTGCTTCTGTAAATAGGGCTGTGCTGGAACATGGCCACACATACATTCACATGTCACCTACACTCCTTTTGCTCTACGAAGTCAGAGCTAAGTCATCGTGACAGAGATTGTGGCATGTAAGGCCTAAAACATTTACTGTTTGGCCCTTTTCAGAAAATGTTTGCCAAACTCTTCCAGATCACTTGCTCAACTTGAGGTTGGTTTGTTTGTTTTCTTTTTTCATTTGAAACTAATGGAAGGCTGGTTTTGCCTCAGGAACAAATGCCCACTGAGCAATGTGCTAGATGGTTCTGAAGGAAAAGTCAGTGGGCTAAATATGGCAACTGACAGCAGCTCTTGGTAACAAGTAAAAACTTGCTCTGGCACATAAAGGACAAGAACCAAATGACACAGAACTCTAACACCCAACATTTACTAACTGCTTACTAAGTGCCTGCCATTGGCCTAAGCTCTGGGGATACCCACATAAATAAGACCAACTCGGTTCACAAAGAACACATTATCTGGTGAGAGAAACAACACTTTCCTATTAAATGGAATCGAAGCTAGTAGACAATGAGTTAGAGTCCTGACACAGAGAATAATGAACTGAGGCTGGGGGTGAGAGAAATTATGCAAACCCAGGAACAGCCACACAGAGACTTCTCTTTCCCCTGCAGCAGCCCAGTTCCCGGGAGTCTCCAGGACTGGGAGCTTATAACTATCCATAGCTGCCTCAGCCCAAAGGCCTCCATTTGTGCGCGGGTGGAGTAACTTCTGGACTGTATGCTGCTTCCTGAATTTCTTTTATAGCACATTTTTGTTTAACCTTTCTAGTGTATATGTCTTTAGTTGTATTTTAAACTTACATTTAGCTTCAGCCCTCTTAATCTATCTTACTATGCTTTTTGTCAACCTTACCTCTATTATTTTCTTTAGCATCTTCTGATAGATATTTTTTTATCATCTTATTCATCTTTTTACATTTTTATTATTTCAGTTGTAACTAATATTTATATAGTTATATATTTTTCCTATCTCCTTTCTTCCAACTACTTTATCTTAGATATAACTCCTTCCTTTTGCTTCTTAGCTGAGAATAAGCAGGGGTGATCGCTGAAGTAGTCAGCCAACAGGAAGGTATGGTAACTAAAAATTAGAATGGTCCCAGCCTCGGAGTGGAGGTGGGTCCCTGGGGTCCTGGAGCGCTTCAATTCACCCTTTAGATGATGAACCCAGGGATGGTCCAAGAGGGTTCTGGGGTAGGGGCAGGAGAGCTGAAGCGGCAGGAACAGTTGGGGGAGGAGGTGGAGCAGTCGCTAAATGTCAACTGATGTGAGGAATTGTTATTATTTTAACAACCAGTACCAGCACACCAGTACCTACTGGACAAGTATCAGTCCTGCAGTTAGGAAACAACTGAGTAAGCAGATAGAGAA